CGTTCAAGTGTTGGATGACTCATCAAAGGCACTGCGGAGGCATCGATTCACTTTCTTTTCGTTTTCGATCTTTTCGTGAAGCGAGCCGAGTTCAGTTGGTTCACATTCAGAAAAGAAAGACGAAGAGAGGGAGAGAGAGAGAGAGAGAGAGAGGGAGAGACGGTAGTCTGGCAGCAGCTCGTTCCATCTGATTTTATTGGGAAGGCGGTAAGTGGTAGTAGTGGTGAGCAGACAGGCGAGCAGCAGTTTCGTTTGCCGGCAAAGCAGAATCGCCAAGGGTCGCGCGCATACGCACAAAGCCATATGTCATGTCCAGCCGTTTAATGGCCTTTTAATACTACCTCGCGACCGGCACGTATCCCCACCCGCAAGATGGCCGCGGGATGGCTGTATCCTTTTGAATAGGCGTCTGGAAGGTGCGTGTATAAAGGTGGGCCGACGCGCGCGAGAGACCGCCGCTGAAAGTCGTGCCGCCGCCACTCGCCAACTCTCTTGGGATTCCTGAGCGTCTGTGTCATCGGTCCGGCCATGTGCCCGCAGCCTCGTAAACTCGCGGCATTAAACGCCGCGCCGCTTCGGCTTTCGTCGACGAAACGGAACGCCTTCGAGGCTGCCAGGAATGTAGACCGATCCCGGGAATAAAGTTTCGACCGCTGGAATCGACACGTTTTGCTTTTTGTCTTTCCACCAAGGTGGCCTGACCTCTTAGTCGGTTTCTTGCTCGTGCTCGGTCGCGCGTCCTCTTCGTGTTCCTCTCGCGTGTTTCTCTCGTCTCCCTTCTCTTCCTTTACTTACATTACAATTAGAGAAATTTCAATGCCGCGGCACGGTCTGAAAACTACCGGACTGTGGAAAGTTTTTCAAGTTTTACATTTCTCAGCCGATTACGAGTTGCATGAAATTCTCGTCCGTCGAACGACGTACCAGTACATCGGAATTTATCTCTCGACCGTAAAATCGAAATCGTCCGGGATCACCAGGAAACGAGGTGATCACGTAACGCACATCTGTTTATACCGATCTGCGAACGAACGAAAGTATAAAATTCATGTCAACACACGATAAATATTATCGATAAAATTTCGAAATATAAACATACATTTGCAAGGGACGTTCCAACTGCTCTCGTAAAACCTGCAACCTGCACGTTCAAAAACATGTTGATCTCCGGCCGTCCAGACCCGAGGAGTGAACATTCTTGCGGACGATCCGAGCGACGATCTTTTCCCATTTATCGCGATACTCGCCTGTCAGGCAACGCGCAGCCACTTCGAGGGGATGCGGCGTCCGCTCCACTTCGCTCCGCGACGCTCGCGATGATTATGATCGAGGAAAAAGGGGGAAAAAGGAGCGTCGAGTGCCTCCCCCCCCCCCGGGGCACTTTGTCCTCGGTTGAAGTCCCAGCGAAAGCGAAACGTTGAACGGCCGACGGCTGTTTTGCTTGCCGCTGGTTAACTCACTCGTCAACGAGCTCGGTTGCCCACTCGAAGACACTTCCGACATCGAGAAAGGGAGTGTCTTTCACTGTATAGAGTGCCTCGAGGACTCTACCGTGGCCTGTTTAATGCAAACATATGGGTTCGTTTGTTCCCGACGGACATATTCTTCCAATTAAGCAAAAAGACCTTGGACCGGCAGGGGAACGCAGCCCTGTGATCGAACGCTTTTAAATATTCACCGAGGGAAAACGGATGAGAGGACGGAGGACGAACCTTTCGGTTTCGCGTGAGATCTCTTCGTGTCCTCTGGATTTTGAAGTTGGTCGCACAGCCAACGAGTTTCGAAACTTCGCCGGTGCGGTCCGACTGAATCTCCTCGGTTTTGGATTTGGAAATTCTTATCACGATCTTCCTTTCGGCGTACAAGTTCCTAGTTTCGTTGGTTAAATTCGAACGAAATTTATTTAACGAACATTCATCTAGGAAAAAGGTAACTAACTTTCCCCTTTGCTTGCGATCTATCCTTTTTCTTCTCCTTCGCCGTTCATTACGTGGAATCGTAATTCAAGTAGCTACGGCGGCGACCGTACGTGTCAGACCGTCAGAACAAGATAAACCGGATGTAAAAATTCACTTGTCGGACAAGAAAGAAGTCGCAAAATCAACAGAAAGATCGTTAAGGTCTCGCGACGATCAGACTTACATAATGAATTATTCATTCGTTGATCGATGGTTTTCGGCTCGTATTCCCGATTATCGTACGAGTCGGTTTTCGAGCCGGTAGTTCGAGAGCCAAATCCTATCGTCGATTGAGAACAAGATTCGGCCCTCTACCTTACCGATGAAAGTCGCAGACGTTTCTGCATCACGTAGGAGATAGCAGCACTCTACTCTCGGTTCTTGCAACGAATTATTAAAACCATCGCCATTGGCGGTGACAAGGGGAATTCGAAGGGCAGGGAAACAGATCCGGTTTTTGCGATTACGAAAAGAGAGCCAATTTTTTCACGCAACGCCCGACAATGAATCGAGAGCCGAGATAATTCTAATTCGACGGACTCGAATTGTTCATTTAGATTGGACAACGCATAATACGAGATAGAGGAGGATCGAGTAAACCGGAAAAACCAGAATGCTTGTGAGATCGTGGCGTTCGTTTTTTAATCGTGTTTTGTATCGATTCAAGGATAAAACAAAGTTTTAATGGTTGGATTCGAAACGTAAGGCGAGTTAACGCATTTCGTGGGATTGCGCCGGATGACCCTGAAGAACCGACTTACCCCGCAGCAGTTTGCATACCGCTAGTCGATTATTACAGCGTGCAATGTCCAAGAATATTTTGTATTTGCTCAACTATTACAAACTGTGTTTTCTTCTTACGGCTTTTAGATAAAATTCAGTCACAGTCAGATGAAAGTTATTTTCGAAGACTTAACGTATATATTACTTAAAGTGTAAGAAAATATAGATTAGTTTCTCTATTCGACTAGAAATACGTGTCAAACACATTTACTATGTTCGCATATGTCTCATTTATCATCGGAACTGGACGTTCTAATCGTCGGTATAAATCCGTACCGGTGTGCAACCCCTGGTACTGTCCTCTCCGCTTCTGTTCGACGATCCTTTCCGCTTTCTCACCGGCTTAGGCGAATTATCGCATTTTATAATAAACTTCAGTTCGGCCATTAACTCTTCTTTAAAGGACACCTGGCGAATAGTTCTTTCGTTTAGCAAAACTATCGACAAACATCGATGGGAATTCAAATTGTTGTAATATATTTATCTACTTACGTTTTCGCGCAGCGACGTGCAGCCAACTTCCCAGAGTAACTCGAACGCGGTGTAAAAGAAAGAGGCGGCAACGCCTACGGATAATACTAAGAACACGCCACCCACATTGTCGAGATCCAGTTCCTCTGCCTGGCTCTGGCCACTGTCTTCCTACGTATCGTATAAAATCCATACATTAGCGCATACAAATTGTTTCTCAACTCTCAGCAAGACAGGTCTCGTTTCATTGGAAACTATGTACGTACGGAACTGCACGTTCCACCTCCGCGTTTCTGCGTCCACCATTTCTTCTTCAGTTCGGTTACCAGGCCGCTTTGTTGCAACTTCAACACCGCAGTGTTCAACGGATGACGATACGGCGAATCTGCGGTCAGTTTCATTTCCGAGTTACGTTCTTGTATAATTGATTCTCATTTGTTTCTTTTCCCCCTTGTTCCGCAAATTTATTTCGATTACTAATTACTCGATTTAATAACGTAATATAATTTTCACTTACATTCCCTGATTTAATTATTTTTAATTATTTCTTACTTTGTAAATTAATTTTATTTCAATTACCAATTATTCCATTGAAAGTGTAGCAAAGAACGTGCCGTAATTTCGTAATCGAGGCGTAAAAACTCACGCTTTTTCATAGCAACTCCGTAACCCTTGGCGTCGAGCAGTCCACCGATCTGCGTCACGTTGCAGTATCTTTCAATGATGTATTCTATAGAGCTGGACTCCATCAGAAACGCGTAGTCCTCTCTCAGCACTTTCGTTAGGGCAACGTCGTTGTCAGGTGGCAGTACGTCCGCCGCGTTCTCTTTCATGTACTCGTACATCTCCTTGTACGTCGAGTAGTTGGAATCCTTGGAATGGGCAGAATTCTTTCAAAAAATTGAATTAGAAAACGAGCAGCACCAAATCTCGTTTGCCTGACGTTTTCGTATTCGCTACGATCGTTAGTAAGAAGTTCGACAGATACGTAGAAGGTTACATTTCCTTTTTTTCTTTTTTCTTTTTTTTCAGGATAATTTGTCATTGATTATGATCTGAGTGTGAATAACGGTGGCGGGCGATTAATCTGAGTACTACATACATACATTATTCAAGCGTCGTATCAAAGGGGATAAAATTATCTGTGATATTAATGAACATGATCTACGTGACTTTGATGATGAATCAACAAACTGTTACAACTGTCGGGAGGGATTAGAATTTTCTGGAATTCGTGAAACAAACATCTCTCAAGGAGCATCTTACGAAATTATGTTTACTCTACTGTTAAATATTTGTTAAATGGGGTGTTTATTAATCGTAATAGTTTGCAGAGGGACAGTTCAAATCCAGACGGTAAAGCTAATCGGAAGAAACTTATGTCTCTTACACTTGGTACAATCACCCTGTAAAATTCGTTGCTACTGACAACCGTTTTCATCAATTTTTTTTTTTTTTTTTGGTAACTGTTTTTCACGTTACGTGACGAAAAATCAATTCGCTTTTGGTTGGATACTTACTTTGAAGAACATCAACGTAGACCCTCCTAGTTTAGCGCCGTACTTGATAGTCTTCTTCTTCGCTAGTTCCTCGACGTTTGAGAAAGGAGAAACCACCGTCTCGACGGTCAAGAACGCGGCTAAATTGGCAGTGTACGATGATACCATGATCAAGCAGAAGAACCACCACGAAGCAGCCATCATTCTCGTCGAAAGCCCTCTGTCCGATTAGAAAAACCTTGCCGTAACAATATCGTCAAGTTGCAAGCTTCTATTCAGTATCGGAAAAAAGGAAAAAAGAGAAAAATCAGAACAACGGTGATTTTGGAAATTTTACTTACATGGGCGCGATCTCGGAACCCTGCTGCATAATACTGCCGATGGTGAACCACAGAGAATTCTTAAAGGTGAATTGATTCTCAAGCTCCTCGGGCTCCTCGATGCATGGATACGGATTATTCCACTCTGCGGGGCACATCCTGCCGATGATGAATAATACCACGGACACGAATATATAAGATCCGATCAAGTACCACCAAACTTCGGCTGAAAACGGCGATAAGAAGGAGAACAAGCTGGGCGGTGTTTTGGTCGGTTTTCGATACAAAATACTTATTCCTGCAAAAAAGAAAGGAAAAGAATGAATTGAAAAAAACATGATTACACAGTCACGACATGTCTGAGAATATTAATACCTTCGCTGTTATACGGACGAAACATACGCTGTTATCTCGTCGTACAATATCGTTTATGACGTGCTATGAATTAAACAATTTGAGTGTTTTTTGACTGTGACATCTCGTGAGATTGTTGAGATTACATGCTTCTTCTTATAATAAACGTGTCTTACGAATCGATTTTCATTCAAATCGAAATATCTCGTCCCAGGTAACACCTCGTGAACGACGAGATATTTCGTTCATAGTGTCTAATAAACGAAACTGTAATCTCATCATACAATACGTTCATGACGCGCTATAAATTCAACAGTTCGAGTGTTTCTTGATTATGGAGATCATTGAGAACACACGATCTCTTTTTGTATTAAAGTAAACATCGAATCTTACGAATCGACTCAGATATTTGTTTGACGAAATGTTTCGTTAGTAACACTTGATGGACCACGACGAGATATTTCGTTCATAGCATTTAATAAACGAAATTGCGACACGACATATCTCTCGTCCGTGACGGCGAAACGGGTTGAATTTATGAACACGTGTACTAAAATTTCGTAAAATTTGATCGAACGATCTGGAAGAGTCATACCTAGATTCATAAAAGGCATCGTGAAATCAACCGCCCCTTCCCTCTCCGACGTTATGGTTAAGTCTGTAATTGCCAGGTCAGCCTCCTGCAACACGATTTTACTGGACACATTGTACCTTAATCCTCGTTAATCGTTTATTTCATTCAAAGGAAGCGGCTTATTTGCCTCGATTCAAAGGTTACTAACACCGGCGATTATTTTGCCAAGCATCCCCGTCCATTTTTTCGCCTTCCTCGAGTACGATCCATACACGTTGTCCGTCTGAACTTCGAACGTGTAATTAAAGCCAAGCATTTTGCTCAGTTCCTGGATAATATCAATGCAGAATCCTTCGTAACGATCGTTCCCTGACATCGTATCGGCTGATCTCTTTAACATGCCGTACGGCTGATTCTGCAACAACACGACAAATTTTATTTCTCATTCGATACATCTTAAAAAGTGACACGTCAATCATAACTTTCTATTTTCGCTACTGATCAATTATTCTACTGTTATTATCCTTTATCAGATTGTCCATCGTAACATCGATAGTTCGTTCACATCGATCGGAGATCTATCCGAGCAGAGGAATCAAATTCGTGTATGCAAATGCAATTTTCGTGTATTCACGCACGATGGCGATCAGAATGATGAACGTTTTGTTCTGCAAGGTCAACTCCGCGTCGGAGTTGGAAACGTGAGCTTCCAACAGCCACTCGACGTTGCTCGTACTGTTCCACATCCCGATCTTCTTCAGTCCGTTTTCCGTCACTTTCACGATATCCAGCTGGAAATCGCTGCGAAATCCAGCCGTGTCGAATTTGATCAAGCCAGTCAATCCTTCCATTTCGGTCTGAAACGAACAAACTCACAATAATAACGTCGGATGTGGAATCTCGAAGCATTGGACGAAGACGCCGATCCATTCGTCGTCGAACATTTTTAGGGGAAATGTGTCTTTTCAAATACGGCCGAGAAAATAGAAATTCGTATCTCCCGCGTTTCTTCAACTTTGAATATACTGCGTCGGCGCAGTGAGACTTACGACTCGCATGAAATTATTCAGACTGAACCCGTGTTCCCAGCTTATGCTGCCGTTGCAAGGCAACGTCTTCACGTTGGCTTTAATGGTGTATCTCAGCCGGCTGAAAGCTCTGGCGAAAAGCTGCACGGCGTCGTACATGAGCGCTGGTTCGACCCGTAATTGACTCGGATCGTTCAAGCCCCAATCGTACTTGTGCGTCTCGACGATGCTCGCAACGAGCGGATTGTCAGGATCGATTAAACGCACCCCCGTGAAATTCACCCCTGAAAATTGGTACGGTTCTAGATCGATCGTTTGAAGATCCTGAAAGCAAAGAAGAAGGGAGACTGGCTCGGTGAAACGCTAGATGCTTCGTTCATCACGTAAGATTGTCTTAGAAAGTCGGATTATTTTCAGATAAATATTTTAGCAACTTATCAACGCCGGCGGGCAGTTATTACCAGGGAAGTTACGATAATTCTGTTCTTCTCCGACATGATGCCCACTTGCTGCGCCTGTTTCAGCACCTCTTCCAATATGTCAATCGAACAGTCGATAAGAATGTTCTCGATCTCCTCGTCTTTGATCTCTCGCATCACTTTTCTGTAAAAAATTCGACCGCGCGTTACTACTCCGAGAACATACTCCAACGAACGAGTACAACGTATGTACGCAAATGTTCGTTTCAATGTGCACCTGTAACTTGGTCCGGTGCCTAAATGGTACAGGAAGATCCCGTGGCTCTTTGCGTCCCAACGCTCCAGCAGTCGGTGGGTACGGAACAAACTGTCGGTACCTTCGTACAGTATTGCGAAAACCTTCCATTCAAAGTCGGTTATAATTTTGTCAAAGATCTGGCGGCACATGAAACACGTCACGTCATCGTCACGCATTGCACGATTCGACGTAACAAGTATTCTTCAATCCAGTGACGCGCAACAATCACGATCCTCTCTTTCTCTTCTCCGAATTTATAAACAATTGCCAAGAAAAGAAGAAGAAGAAGAAGAAGAAAGGACGAAATAGCAAAAAGAGACACACAGAATAGCGTGCCTTCTTCTCGCGTATTTTTAATTGAATCAATTTTAATCCTAAAGAGCTTCGCGAAGAAACAGAAAAAGAAATCTGAACAGAGATCGCAAAAATTTCAAAACGAGTCGCCGTGTCGCGCATCATCACTGTTCAAAACTCGTCGAAGTATTTTTCTGAAAAATATAAATATGTCGATGCACGCGTCGAGAGTGCACGCTCGCAAGACGCGATCTCGCATACGGTCCGATAAATATTTAAGCGGGGGGAAAAAACGCGGCGAGAGGTTTCGCCGCGCATTCTACGTACCGTGGAGAGTGTTCCCGCATGCGGGAATAAGTTTATTCCTTTGCCGCGAGTTTGAGAGTGTTCCCATCTGCCGTAAATGTGTGGCATTTCCATGGTATCGCACATACTCTGCACATGTTCCGAGGTAAACCTATTGTGGGGACCGAAAATGGCGGCCACCCCTTCCTCCATCAATTCGCACGCTGAATATTTTACGAGAGATCGATCTCGCGTTAACAGAACCGGGATTAATCGGGGAGAACGTCTCGTGCAAAAGCCTGGGACGTTGAATCAATTTTGTCCTTAACCTCTTAGCCGTGGTGCCGTTTCTTAAAAGTATCTACGCGATGACGATTATACTCGTCTGAAACGCAGAAATGCGCAGGCTGCTATAAGGAAGTAGCACTGGTTTCTTTTAGAAAATAATAATTAATATTAATTAATATCGACAGCAAGAAAATAATAAAGAAACATTCCAAAATGCCTGAAACTTACAAGTGTGTCTCATTTTTCACGAGAAAAATTCAACTCAATTGTTATATATCATTACGGGGAGAAAAATGGTCATTTCTTCGTGACGAATATACTCGTCATTCGCAGCCAAGAGGTTGAAGAATTTGTCGAGTGTATTATTTAAAAATTCTTCTTCGATATTATTATAAAAGTAGTCTAATCTAGCCGTCGTTACGACTTTTGCACGATATTTTACGTAGGACGCGATGGACAATTATATATACATATATACCTATTAGCGACACGTTGAACGGATCCGTGTCGACCTCGTTGGACTTGGCCACGAGGAACACGTCTGGGAACTCGTCGTTCTCGTGTCGCTCTTGGTTCACTCGCTTTATAGAGGATTCGAAGGTACGTTGGATTCCATCGTCGGTGTCGAACAGCCCTCCTGAAAGAGTCACGCGTAGCCACGTGTTTCTATTAATACACGCTCGCGGAACGGTTCAAGTTGGAAACGGTGCTAAGTTCATGGGTGGAAATAAACTTGATAGGTCGTTAATATTGTGAAATGAAAACTCTCTGTTCGCGTATCCAACTGGTCGTTCCACGATTTCTCAGCGTTTCTCCTCACCCACGTTGACTTTCGCGCTGCTGGGAGCCGCCAGGACGCAGCAGAGGACGAAGATCAATGAAAGACACTTGTCCAGCATCTTATCTCATGTCATTCTCTACGATGCGTACGTCGTATGCTTCGTACGTCGTGTACAATCGAAACTGGTCGACAGAGCAGATTAAACAATTAAGGCACAATTATTTGTGGAAACAGATGGGAGCAACGTTGTTCCTCGTTGCGACAACAGTCAAGGCGATTCAGTGCGCGGTTTAGACGATAAACGTTCTCGGCGAAACAACAGAGATCAACATACGACGATGAGATCGGTGGCGCGGGAGGGAAGCTGTTAGTCCGCGATTAGCCTCAAAGACAAACCAGATTGATGCGAATTTATTTGCAATAAGACGACTCGAGCGTCGGGCTGCGAAGCCAGACCGCTGGGATTCGAACGAGCACTTAACCACGCGACGGTTCTGTAAACCAGCGTGGGGAAGCGTACACACGGCTCGAATTCTCCGGTCTGCGTAAATATTTAGAACCGTCTAAAATCAATCCTCCAATATTCAGGCTATTTATTTGAAGCTGCCGAAGGAGGCTTCGCAACTGTCAGATTCCCCGTCGACGTTTCCACGTTGATTTCCCTTCCGCGTCGAGCTTTTTCGGATGGCGGGGAGATTATTGGACACTTGATATGTTTTTCTGCTTTTTTCCTTTGAGTTTCCAAGATTTGCGCGGTATAAGACATGTTAGAACGAAAATAGAATTTCGAATTGTTAGACTGCGGATATTTAAATATTTATTATTCGAGAGAGACCGTTTCTTCCACGCAGAATGGTAATTAACCTCGCCAAGGACTAATTTTTTACAGTGAAGGAAAGATGATTTAATTTTTTATTCGAGTATGTTTCATCGACTTTGCAAGTTTCCTTATTGGCAGTGAATAGTTCTTGCCTAACAGATTTTAATTTCCTTTTCTTTTTTCCATTTAGAATGATTTTAATTTAAAAAAAAAAAAAAAAGTAAAAATGCACGTACGTGTCGGTGTCGTTTTTACATTCTTCTCGGGATATTTTCTACATTTTGCATCTTCAAATATTCCATAAATGCAGGAAAAATCCACAGCCTAACAATCACGGCGGCTTCCGTCAGACGTGGAAATCTTTCGCGCGAAATATTAAATTTAATATTAACTTCAATTAAATATGAACAAATTTGAAATTGCTGAATTTACATTCCAACGCGATGTTCATGCGTTAATTTCGAAATGATGGGTAGATTTAACTCGGCTACATTTGTGTATTAATTTCGCACCAGCACTCGCGAGTCGGCATAATTTTATCGAGGACGACTTTTGCGGACCAGCGGGTATTTTCTTGCCTGGACGCGGCACGCGATTCGCGATTCCGCATGGTCGCGCGATTGTCACCTTGCCAAACGTAGCCGATTCTTTCGTTCGTTCGTTCATTCATCGTGGCGGCTTATTTCTGGTTATTTCATATTCGTGGCGAGCGTTGTCTACGAAACGATCCGTGGCTCCGTGTCAACGCGCCACATCCAGCCGGTCGTAATCGCTCGAAAAACACACGAAAATCTTCGAGTACCGCTCGTTATATTTAGACGTCGTGCGTCGTCGTCCCTAACGCCTGTCGCTTAAACCGCTGTGACATAGTTTCTCTCGAATCGCGATCGCCCATGGTTTTCGTGAAAAAAGATTCTCTCTCTTTCTTTCTTTGCTTCAACTTCAAGTTCTCTCGCTTTTCGAAACGTAGCGATACGTGTTTTCATTGTTTGTACCTTTGGATGACTTGTCGAGCTTCTATTTTATTCTCCGATCGCGTCCTGAACGAAATGACAAGCTTTCAAGGTTTCCAAGGTTTCAGTATGCAAACTTTTCGTACGACTTGCACGTGCATCGAAAACTTCGTTATCGAACTGTAAATTTACTCGAACACTCGCGTCTCGCGAAGTTGAAACTCTGATCGCTTGTTCTAAAAACGATCACTCTTCGAAGTCGCGTCGAGGGAATTTTCCAAAAACTCTTAATTTTCGGGCCTTGATCTGATGGCTCGCTCATGTTACTTCGACGAGCGCGTATGCCTCCCGAATGAGTTGGAAAATCATTTCGAGTCGAATGGACGGACACGCGGCTGACTGACACGTTCCGTGCCATGTGTACCACCGGTGGTACACGTTAAGCTTGATCTTCAGGCCACGTGTACCAGCATATTTCTAATAATATTAAACTACTTATCGATTGATGATGTAATGAAAGATTGTGTGATAATATATCAAATGGCCTGAATGACAACAAAAGGCAAAAATGGCTTGCCACGGAACGTGTTAAAAGCTTGGACGAAAGTTACACAGCGATGAAAGGGTCAGGGGTTAAGCGACGAGGGAGAGGGGATAACGCGTGTGTGTGATAACGCGGCTGTCGATGCAACGAGCGTGAAAGGAAGTGGAAACTTACCCGAAATTGCAATTACACACGGTTGGTTACCTGGCTGAAGAAGTTTGATATACGGTGCTTTTCGGGAACGAACCTCGCGGCGTGCACTCTAATTCCGCACGCCGCATCTCGCCGCTTCTCGGTGTTTTCACTGCGCACACGCGGACTCCCTTCCAAGCCACTTCGGATTTCGTTTCTACACTCACGAACATGGCCGGCGTTCACGGATGGCACGAATTTAATTTATTGTTAGACGCGACGCCATCACTTTTTCGTGTGCATGCCGCCGCACTTAGGCAGAAGTGCTCTGCGGGCTCTTTCGACGTTACACGGACGCGTGTATATATTTTTTTCTCTCCGTGCTAAGAGTGAGAGCTTGGATTTCAAAAGTGCGCCACACTTCTCCTTCGCATTGGAATAATTAATAAGAAGAGAAAGAAAGGAAAAGACAAGGTTCCAGAAGGATTCTCGTAGGTCGGTAGAGCATCAGACGATCTGTTCGGGCGAAAAAAAAAAAAAAAAAAACATTTGTCTCTGTGTGTATAAAAAGGTCCCAATCCGACACTACCTGGGTCTTCCCTTAAAAGACTCAGGTGTCTTATGAAGATTTCCTCCACGTAAAAAAGAAAAAAAAAAAAGGTTCCAGAAACGGCGTAAACTTTATTTCTCGGGCAGAGGGACAACGCAGGAAAGTTAACAAAATTTCCGCGACAAACAAAGTGTAGTTAAATTCATCGTAGAGGAGTCGATAGATACACGACTGAAGAAAAGTCTGAGCAAATGGTTGTTCCTTTCGACAGCGTGTTAGGCTGCTTCCAGAAAAGTGTTCTTCTACCTTTTACAGCGACCTTTTACGCACGACGCAAAATTCTTGTGCCATAGATGGTAACTCAACGAGGTAAATCGTTACCCGCAAGAAGCGATCTCGCCAGTACGTTTGACATTTATTTTATTCTACGAAGAGGACAATTAAAAGTCACTGTCCAAAGAGAGATTCACGTAATTCCTTATTCTTAATTTTCAAAGCCAATTAATCGACTTTAAAGAAAGGAACTTTCGAGCGAAAGAGGAAACAGCACAAAGACTGTGACGGAGATTGAGAAGGGACAAAAGATTGGGACAGCGTGGAATGCTAAGAATCAAGATAGGAAGAATACACAGAAACAGATGGGAGAGAATGGTGGAAAGGAGGTGAAACATGGCGGAAAGATGACAAAGTAAATGAAATGGCTACGGCTAGAGTCGCAGGAGAGAGCAAAGAGAAGGTAAGAGGCCGTGGAAGTTGGATACATTAGTGAATTAGTTACGTTAGCGGTTTGGGATTTAGCTCTCTAATCAAGGGAACGAAGAGTGAAGGCTGCGGCAATTGATGTAAAAGTAGAACTTCCCGGGGACCAATTACCGTGGCCGTGGTTAAAGTAGAACTTCTCTGTCGTAATCAACGAGGGGATTATGACGAGGATTAAGTATATTACGCGTGGAATCATTTTCTCTCACGAACGAAAGCGCAGCAACCTGACGCCTCGCGATCGATCATCGCCTACGCGAAACGCGAGAATTAGAAAACTTTTACGAATGTGTCTCCTTCGAAAGCGAGAATCGAAGTTGACAGGTTTCGTTTTTTTTTTTTTTTTTTTTTTTTCGAAAAAAATTCAGACTTTTATATTTCGTGTATAATGAACTTTGAAAAGGAAAGAACAAGTATAGAAATTTTAGAGAAAATTTATTGAAAGAAGCGTTACACTCAGGAGACTTTCGAGAATGATATTCTTCTCTCTGGAATAGATGTTTTGTGTAATACTCTTTAATCAAAGATCCATTTAGTACTCACTGTCAATCAGTATACCATCATATGCCACAAATGTTGAGACACGAAAGTTTTCATTTCCATTCTGTCAGGTAGTTTCAACTTTTTAAGAACGTTTATTTATTCGAATTATTTTTAAGAAAACCTATTTGAAAGTCTCCATTAACCTTCCCGATTTCTCTGATTTTAACATCGATAATCTTTCGTCTTTCTTCTCTCGATGTCGGTGATGTCAGCGAGCGACGAAGCTTGAAAAGTACCTCGTCTTCCTCGCATCGAGCAACAAACGAAAACACACACGTGCGCCGGGAATTTACAGACGATGAGTTTCTCTTTTCTTTTTCTTTTTTTTTTTTTTTTTTTTTTTTTTTTTTTTTTTTTTT